TCGGCTTAGTCCCTTTATACTTCTTGAGTCATACAACAGATATAGCAAATGCTAGTATTGGCCCAGTGGCCTAATGGATAAGGCATAACCATTCAAAGCTGGGGATTGTGCATTCAGGTCATGTTTGGGTTGTGTTTGTTGGGTTACATTTAAGTTGTGTGAAAAAATCCTGACTTGTCTACTCAAAGCTTAGGTGTCTGAGGACAATAGTTAGCTTCGAATTCTCAGACTTGCTGTACACTTTAATTAAGATTCATCCAATCTTGCTTGAATCTCACTGTCACGTTACAAACCTAAAAGGTTCCGCTAAGCTCTGGAAATGGAGATCTTGACTTCAAGTACCCCGTGGCTCTCAAATAACAGTCTCATGTTAGGTAGATGGTGATAAAATGCAAACAAGAAAATAGCTGCAGAAAGGTTGTGATTTCAAGTTAATGAGAGTGGCCTTGACTGGAATTCGAAACTCTCAAGACCAGTCGTACTATATGCTAGAACCATACCCCAGGACTGATGAGACACGAATATGAACAATTTCACAAAGAAAATGTTTGTCCATTAGTTCTTATTTGACGGAATGCAAACTGGCATCGAGATCCTAAAGTGCAGTTTTCCATGCAGTGGCATCTTGTTGAAGGCATACAAGAGATCCTTGATAGAAGACTAGTGACATGGCCCAGTGGCCTAATGGATAAGGCATCAGCCTCCGGAGCTCGGGATTGTGGGTTTAAGTCCCACCTGGGTTGTTTTTGAAGGTCTCACTTCAAGTTAGGATCAATATTTTGTGGATGAAACACAGTAGCTGTGAAAATCTTCTTAAGATGTGTTTGCGTGTCATTAACTGCCTTTACTGTCATGCATATTACCTGTTATGACTAAAAGGGTAACGAGATACCTGACGCAAAAGGCCATTTTGAATCCTGCATGGTGCTTACAGCGAAGAAACTGCGTACAAACACAAAAATGGTGCTTACATATAAAGCTGGTGGGTTGTTCAAGATCCATAAACAAATCTAACAACCGAATCATTGCTGCTCCTTTTTTGTCTGTATAATTGTACATGTTAGACTAATTTAGATCAGAAATCCACTAAATGTTCGTTAACCAAAGTCACAGCAAAAGCTGCTACAATTTACACAGAAATGCCAAAGCATCACTTCTTTTTCTGTGACAGACATAGGGCTCTTTCAGGATTTGAACCTGGGACCTCTCACACCCACAGCAAGAATCATACCACTAGACCAACGAGCCCTGAAAGAGCACACTGCAGTGCCACAAAAAGATTCTGTGAAACTGGTCCAATTTACTTTTTGTTCATGTTGTTTTTGTTACGTGCGTCAGCAACTCCCTGGACGCATATTACAGTTCACAGGCAGTAAAAAACAGCCTAGAGAAGGCATACAAGAGATCCTTGATAAAATATTAGTGATGTGGCCCAATGGCCTAATGGATAAGGCATCAGCCTCCGGAGCTGGGAATTGTGGGTTCAAGTCCCACCTGGGTTGGTCTTTAATGTCTCACTTCAAGTTGGGAGCGATGTTTGATGGAAGAGACACAGTAGCTGAGATATGTTTGTGTGTTATTAACTTCCTTTATTTTCAAGCAAATTACCTGTTATGACTAAAAGGGTAACGAGATCCATAGCGTGAAAGGCCATTTTGAATCCTACATTGTGCCTACAGAGTATAGACTGCGTACAAACACAAAAATGGTGCTTACATATAAATCTGGGGCCTGTTTCAGTAAGAAGGTTCAAACAACTCAGAGTTTAAACTTGAACTCTGAGTTGATTTACCGAGAGATTAAAAACCCAGAGTTTTCGGTTTCAGAATAGCTGATCTGAGTTAGGTCAATCAACTTTGAGTAGACCAAGTCAAAGTTAAAGAGCCCATATTATGGGTTTTTGAAAATTCCCCTCCATGTAGTGTGTAACACAGCTCTAAGTGAAGTGAAGTATCCAGCTAAGGCTTAAATCTGTAAGAATACAGTGTTTAAAACGGTTGATTCATCTATAAAAGAGTCGACTCATAGTGCTTCAAACGAGTCGCCTTGATACCGATTCATTAGGTGTTTCGCCATGACGTACGAACGAAACCAAGTTATTCACGTGCGCGCGCAAACCCGGGAGATTTCAAACCTGAGGCCCCGCCCTCTGACGCAGTAACCCAGACACACACACACCCCCACAAACACACGCACACAAACATGCCGGTCGATTGAAGTCACACTGCAGATGGACATTATCGATTCTCTACCCAGAGATGAAACCTCAGCATTATAACCAAGCAGTTGGAAACTTCTGGAAACTACAGGCTACAAAGAATACTTCATCTGCGTTTGTTAAAGTAAGGATCAGTAAAGAGTTACTTACTAATGGACGTCAGGATGAGTTTCTTCCTCCATTTCTCAAATGTAAGTACGTGCGATTAAAGTTGCCTCGTTGACTCTAGCTTGCAAATGTATTTAGTTGTGATTTGTTACTTGTAACCGAGTGTACTGTATCAGGTTAACTGGCTATATTCTCTTATCGCGTGCAAAGTCACGTTAAAAACGCAACGCGTGCTGTTTGTTTACGGAGCTCCGTGGTAGAGGTCTGCAAATGGAAATTTATTGGCGCGCCGCAGAAATCTGGCGTGGGGACAGCCGCGGGAATAAATTTCCGAATCAATCGCGGGAGCGGTCGGTAACAGGTATAATTTGGGACGGGAGCGGGCTGTCTAGCAATATCGTGGATATTGCTATGCGAATGAGACAGAGCTTTGCCTGCCTGTGTGTCTGCTTGGCGCTTGTGTGTATGTGTTAGTGCGCGCGTATGAGAGAGAGAGAGAGAGAGAGAGAGAGAGCGAGCGAGCTCTGTCTGGCTGTCTCTGGACTGTTTTGCTGGGTGATTTTCGGTTATGTTCTCCCCCGCTCTTTAGCGGGATCGGGCGCGGCGGGCAGAAAACGGGGCGGTTCGGGCACCGGGACAAGAAATTCTAAATATAAGCGGGAGCGGTCGGGTTCAGGCTAAAACCTGGCGGGTGCGGGCGGAAGCGGGAGCGTTGTCGTCCAGAGGTGTGTGTGTGTGTATGTGGCAGCAAAAATCCACGCCTACACTATGGAGCGCGTATGAACTGTGATTACTTTTATATTGCTGATTAGCTATTGGGCATTTCATTGTCTGACTGAAGGCAGTCGACCAATCGTGACAGGCTGTCATCGGTCCAATCAGCGCAGATTAGCTTTGCGCTAAGGAGGGGTTTGGGAACAAATGAATCACTGGACGATTCATACAGGAGTCGCTGGGATAATTAGGTAAAAAAAAATGCAGATTATAAGACCATGAAAGTGTTTTTTGACTTTGCATGCATATTAGACTGTTGTTGGAGACCCTTACAACCAAGATATGACCCTATTTCATGTATAATATGGGCTCTTTAAGCGTGCACACCATGACTATAAAAAGGCATTATCAATGGAGCACAGATATTACGAGTGACGATGGCAACATCTTTAAAAAAAGAGATCATCATTTCTTTCTCCAGTTGAACTTGATGTGTTTGGAAGGTAAATCCTGCCAATTTTAAATAAATCAAATAAACATTGGAAATGAAAATGAAAATCAGATTAACAATTTCATTTTAAAACACTGTTCGCAAAATATCTGCTAAAATTGAAAATGAAATGAAATTATTATATAAAATTGGGCAGAAAAGGGACCACTGCATGGATATATCTAGGGTAGCGTGGCCAAGGGGTCTAAGGCGCTGGATTTAGGCTCCAGTCTCGAATCGGTTCGAATCCCACCGCTGCCAGATGTGGTTTTAAACACAAACAAACTGCTTGAGTGTGTGCGCGTTCTCAGTGATTGCTGGAAATGAGAGAGTACATTTAAGTTGGCAACTAGTCAGTATAATGTGTTCTTTGAAACTCACGGCAGACTCGTCGTAGTGAAAGCAACACATCCCCAAGCTTGAATCTGAACGGGAGCAAGTGTCTTTCCCACGATTAGATTGCAGCATCTGGAAGTCTCTCTCTGCCATTGCCCCTTTTAGCAAGAGCACCCTATTGAAACAGGAACAGTAAAGATTCACAATTAGAATAGTAATACTCTATAACTGGATTTGAATATAATAACAACAACAATGTGGGGTCTGCTGTGATGGAATCAGTAACTTTCTCTCTTTTGTAAAATAACAGTTACCTTGTAATCAGGTGCTTAAATGCATGGCAGCTGGCTGCCGTTTGGAGTAGACTTCAAATGGCTTGAGGTGTGCACAAATAGAGACAGAACTGTGGTTGACAGGAAGGTGGGAGTGCTTCCTAAGCTGGTATTAAGCAGTTTTCTTTCTTTGTGGAGGAGCTCCAGCAATGCATGGCCGAATTCAACTGATTTCCCAGTGCTGTTGCGCTCCTTGAAACAAGTTGGTGCGAAAACTGCTCAGGGAAACAGGTGGCAAGGTAGCGTGGCCGAGCGGTCTAAGGCGCTGGATTAAGGCTCCAGTCTCTTCGGGGGCGTGGGTTCGAATCCCACTGCTGCTAGGCAGTCCTTTTAGGATGCTTGAGAATGACCTCTCTGCTTTAGCAAACAGACTTGCAAAGTAATACTGCGTGCTTCCGCTCACATCCAAACGTAGACTCCTTGGCCAATGTTGACGGTCTTCACTAGGAAGCTCGGCGTCCTCTCTGCTTCTGTAAAATTGGGCAGAAAAGGGACCACTGCATGGAGTCATCTGAGATAGCGTAGCCAAGGGATCTAAGACGCTGGATTTAGACTCCAGTCTCTTCGTGGGCGTGGGTTCGAATCCCATACGCTGCCAGGCAGTCCTTTTAGGATGCTTGAGAATGACCTCTCTGCTTGAGCAAACAGACTTGCAAAGTGATACTGCACGCTTCAGCTCACATCCAAATGTAGACTCCTTGGCCAAAGTTGAAGGGCTTCACTAGGAAGCTCGGCGTCTTCTCTGCTGTTCTGCTTCCGTCAAACTGGGCAGAAAAAAGATCCACTGCATGGATATATCTAGGGTAGCATGGCCAAGGGGTCTAAGGCTCTGGATTTAGGCTCCAGTCTCTTTGAGGGGTGTGGGTTCGAATCCCACTGCTACCAGATGTGGTTTTAAACACAAACAAACTGCTTGAGTGTGTGCGCGTTCTCAGTGAACGCTGGAAATGAGAGAGTACATTTTAGTTGGCAACTAGTCAGTATAATGTGTTCTTTGAAACTCACGGCAGACTCGTTGGTGTGACAGCAACACATCCCCAAGCTCGAATATGCTCAGGAGCAAGTGTCTTTCCCATGATTAGATTGCAGCATCTTAAATTCTGCACTGGAAGGCTCTCTCTGCCATTGCCCCTTTTAGCAAGAGCACCCTATTGAAACAGGAACAGTAAAGATTCACAATTAGAGTAGTAATACTCTGTAACTTCATTTGAATATAATAACAACAACAATGTGGGGTCTGCTGTGATGGAATCAGTAACTTTCACTGTTTTGTGAAATAACAGTTACCTTGTAATCAGGTGCTTAAATGCATGGCAGCTGACTGCCGTTTGGAGTAGACTTCAAATGGCTTGAGGTGTGCACAAATAGAGACAGAACTGTGGTTGACAGGAAGGTGGGAGTGCTTCCTAAGCTGGTATTAAGCAGTTCTCTTTCTTTGTGGAGGAGCTCCAGCAATGCATGGCCAAATTCATTGGGTTCAAATCTGATGTGGTTTTCAAGAGTTCACACTTAGCTGATAATCAATAAAGCGTATTTGGCATGCTGTCCTGGGAGAGAGCCCTGAGCTTGTAATATCCCTGAGCCCGGAGCTCCCTCCAGTTGTAAGGGCGAGAGGGGAATTCGAGGTCAGGTAGGTCTTAAGAACTCCCCTGCTTGTCACCATGAGAAGTGTAAACTCAGGTTGTATTGGGTAATAATTTGTTTTAGTCGATTGGCTATGGTTTATGTTTTTGGACGGTGGGAGGAAACCGGGGAACCCGGGGCAAACCCAAGCAAACACGGGGAGAACATGCAAACTCCACACAGAAACACCAACCAACCCGATGGGTTGGACCGGCGGTGTTCTTGCTGTGAGGCAACAGTGCTAGCCACTGGGCCACCGTGTCGCCCGATCAGAAAAAGTGGGAGGATGTAGGGGTGGAAAGGGGGGGAGCTTCAAGACGAAGATAACTGGAGTGAAAAACTCAGGTTATTTATATTGCTTCCGTAATCATCTAATAGGGCTGATTACGGAGCTAACAAGGAGCCAGCCGTGTTGATTATAAGCACGTGATCCTCTCGAAATTAGTTTATGAATAAACCACACTTAAACACGGCCAAACTGCTTGAGTGTGTGCGCGTTCTCAGTGAACGCTGGAAATGAGAGAGTAAATTTAAGTTGGCAACTAGTCAGTATAATGTGTTCTTTGAAACTCACGGCAGACTTGTTAGTGTGACAGCAACACATTCCCAAGCTCGAATCTGCTCAGGAGCAAGTGTCTTTCCCATGATTAGATTGCAGCATCTTAAAGTCTGCACTGGAAGTCTCTCTCTGCCATTGCTCCTTTTAGCAAGAGCACCCTATTGAAACAGGAACAGTAAAGATTCACAATTACAGTAGTAATACAGTGGGGAATAAACCAGAGTCAAGAGTTGTGTTAATTATGTGAGTCAGTGTTGGTATGACTTTCTGACACAGATATGAAAATAGCCTCACCATTTACTTTCCATTGTGTGGTTTTAAACCTTGATGAGTTTCTTGATTCTGTTGAAGACAAAATACGATATTGTGATAAAAATGCTGGCTTACTTTGTGTTCCAGAAGACAGGAAATGTTTAAAACCACATGATGGAGAGTAAATGGTAAGCTCATTTTAATATTTAGGGTAAACATCCATTACATGCTTGCCACTTTAAGCCTTTATACTAAAGTTCACTTTTTTGTTCTTTTTTGAAGACCTGATAGTGCTAAAAGAACAGACACATCAATGGAATGAAATAGAAGAGAAACAACAAGAAATAATGACTGATTAAAAACCCACACTCACTAAAAAGACTTCATCACACAGAAAACCTCGGAAATCCAAGTCTAGGTGTAATTTCAGCTGTAAACAGAGTAGAAAGAGTTTCAGTCAAAAGCCAAACCTTGACCACACTAGGGAGAAACCTTACACCTGCAAACAGTGTGGAAAAAGCTTCTATAATACAGGAAACTTAAAAGTGCACATGAGAATTCACACTGGAGAGAGGCTGTACGCATGCCAACAGTGTGGAAAAAGCTTCTATTCTACAGGAAACTTGGCAGTGCACAGAAGAATTCACACTGGAGAGAGGCTCTACTCTTGCCCTCAGTGTGGAAAGAGTTGTAAGCAAAATGGCAATCTTGAAGTCCACATGAGAACTCACACTGGAGAGAGAAGCTTTATTTGTACACAGTGTGGGAAAGGTTTTTCTCAAAAACAAAACCTTACCATCCACATGAGGATTCACACTGGAGAGAAACCTTACACATGCACAGAGTGTGGTAAAAGGTTCCCACATAAAAGCTCACTCAAACACCACATGATAAGTCACACCGGACAGAAGCCGTTTGCATGTGCTCATTGTGGAAAGAGCTTCACAACCAAAGAATCATGAATCACACGAATGGTCACACTGGAACCACAGTGTTTACATGTGATCAGTGTGGAAAGAGTCTCTCATGCAAAGACTCCATTAAGCAACACATGAAGATTCACTCAGGCGAGCGTTTTCGATGCAGTGAGAGTGGAAAGGTCTTCAAACATAAAAGAAGCCTCGTCAATCACATGAAGCTTCACAATGGAGAGAAAAAATGAGGCCTTGTCCAGCAGAGCTTAAGGCTTTCCCGGGATAGCATGAGATAGCATCTGGGGACAAGTGTGAACTCTTGAATACATCTCAAGTTACTGGAATGAAACCCTTTGAACCTGAAGATTTAAAATCAATAACTGAAGAGGGGTGAAGATGTACCAGGTATTATATATATATATATATATATATATATATATATATATATATATATATGTGTGTGTGTGTGTGTGTGTGTGTGTGTGTGTGTGTGTGTGACTACTATTACTAACAGCAATGTTAGGTGGGCAAAATAAAACTGAAAAAGGATACTTTTTTAAACTAGTATGGGTCTATTAATCTCATTGTCACCCTTTAAAAGGTTTAAAAACCAACATTTATAAATTTATATATTTATGAATGAAGAATTTTTTGCAAAGCATAAACGGTTATTAACTATTTAATGCTGTGTACAATTTTCTTTAGTCACATTAAATTTAACTTGTTTATTGTAAAAAGGGTTCACATGGATATTGACATAAGACATGAATATATGCAATTAAAGAAAACATGCTCAGTGTTTTCAATATGACTTTCACAAAATTGACAAGTTATCCTTATTATCAACTTTTAATCTCAGGAATAATTTTGATGGATACACATCATTAATCATTTTAACTGGAGTTCTTTAAATTTGGGGAGAATTGAATAAGAAATGTAACTTGTTGTCTTATTTTTCTAATTCCTGTGAATTAAAATCTTTAAAAATAAATGAGGTCTGAGCTGATTATGAAGCCTTTGAATAAGAATATTCATTTAAAACTTGTTATTACATTTTGAATCTCTAAAAAATAAAGATGGAAGAGACAACATTACAGAATAGTGTGAAAGAAAACCTCTGATCAATACTGTGATGTTTTTAGGGATAATATTAATTATTGTTTTAAACTCTTTAGGGTGACAAGCAAAACCCTGTTTAAAGAATCGGTTGAATAATTTTAATATAGCAAAAAGATTGTCATTTCAAGTGAAAAAAGTCAAATGCGATTATAATCTATTTTAACAAGTTTCCATTTAATTTTGATGAGGTGACGAGGAATCTGGATCAGCACCAAAGCCACTTCTTCCATCTGCTCCATCAATAGAATATCCACCTGTTACCTCAGATGCCACTGAACTTTTACTATAGTTCCCACTATATTTGGCCACAACCAGCACCAGCAGTACCACCAGCTCCACCGGAAACATGTACAGAGATGCTGAAGCACTGGGAGCCACTGGACTATGTACCACATGTCCCCTCAAACTACTTAATACAGTGATCTTTTTTTTTTTTTTTTTTTAGCTCTGCACAGTTGCCAGACATTCAGAATCGCTCCCCAGCAAACATCAGAAACAGGTGGGTTCAACAAAGGTTTTCACCTATGTAAAAAAAAAAATGTTGTACAACAAATAGTTGTAAATACCATAATATACAGACCCAGTAAAAAAGTTTGGAATATTTTATAATAATATTATTCTGCTCACTAAAACGTTATTGCATTTTTAATGTTCTTTAAAATATCATTTATTCACGTTTAAGCCTGAATTTTACACATGATTAGTCTTCACTGTCATGATGATGGAGGATCAGGAGTGCTAGTTAGAAAAACAAAGACTCAAATGATTAATTTAATTATTGAAGCATAAAAATGTCATAATTTTCTAGTCGGCTTAGTCTCTTTATTAATACGGGGTCGCCACAGTGGAATGAACCGCCAACTTATCCAGCAAGTTTTTACGCAGCGGATGCCCTTCCAGCTGCAACCCATCTCTGGGAAACATCTACACACACTCATACGCTATGGACAATTTAGCCTTTACCAATTCACCTGTATCGCATGTCTTTGGACTGTGGGGGGAACCGGAGCACCCGGAGAAAACACACGCGAATGCAGGGAGAACATGCAAACTCCACAAAGAAACGCCAACTGAGCCGAGGCTCGAACCAGCGACCTTCTTGCTGTGAAGCGACAGCACAACCTACTGCGCCCCTGCTTCACCCAGCATAAAAATATACATAAATAAATCACAATTTAAATGGACAAATAAATAGATATGTTTGAATTGTGTTTTTAAATGTCATTTAATTAAGCAATAAAACAATGCATTACAAAAACATTTTAAATGTATAAATAAATAGACACTTTATTACTGTATTGATATTTAATTCATGTTTTAAAGGCTGATTAACCAAACAGTAAAATTTTTTATTAATAAATCACAAAACACATTTTAAACAGCTTTTTAAATAAGCATTTGGCAAATGCTTTTCTCCCTATTTGCTGTTTGGTTTTCTTTTTCTTTTGCCACATGCTTTTCTCAAATTGAGTTAAAAATGGCTCTGCTGTAATGAGCTATTGTTTTCCTCTGTTAGGAAAAAAAAGACAGTTAACAGTTTTACCTAGATTAAATAACCTTGGTGATAAAGATTTTCTTGGAGATATAGAACAAATTGAACTTCGTATTTTGCAATCAGAGTTGGATGACTACTATACAGAGAAAGCTAAAGGAGCTTTACGATCTAGAGTGAAACGGATAGAGGAGGGGGAGAAAAATTCTTCATATATATTTTTTTTTTTATTTAGTAAAGCATAGACAATCTTCAAAAACTATTAATAAACTTAGCATAAATAACGATGTAAGTGAAGAGAAAACTTTGATTGATGATCACATCTATTCATATTATTATATAAATCAAAATTTAATGAGAGTGATTGTGACTTTTTCTTTTCCTTTTTAAAAGATAAAGTTCCTATTATAGATGACTGCTTCCGTGAAATGATGGAATCTGACATTGTTATCTCTGAACTTGATGTTGCTATTTCTAAAATGTCCAATGGAAAATCCCAGGCATACACGGAATTACAGTTGAGTTTTATAAACATTTTTTGCCAGAGATAAGATTTTTAGTTTTTGAAGCACTTAAGGAAAGTAAAGAGAAAGCAGAACTATCGACTTCTACGAAGCAGATTTTAATAATTTTAGTTCCATAGCCAAGCAATGACAAATTATTTTTAAATAATAGGAGACCCAAAACTCTTTTGTCCAATGATTTTAAATTTCTCTCTCATGTATTTGCCAATAGACTCAAAAAAGGTATAGGCAAGATAATTAATGAAATACAATCAGCTTTCATTAAAGTGAGAAGTATTCAGACTGATAGTTGATATGCTTGATTATAGGTATTTAATTCCTCAGACAAGTTTATTTCTATTTCTAGACTTTTTCAAGGCATTTGATACCCTTGAGCATGCTTTTTTGTCTTTAGAAAGTCTTTAGAAACTTTTGGGTTTAGTCCGAGCTTTTGTAGGGTAATTTCCATGTTCTATACTGATATATTCAATAGTAAATTCCTGAATTCAGGATCATCTCCTAGAGTTTACATCAAAAGAGGAATCCGTCAAGGATGTCCCATCTCACCTTTACTTTTTAATATAGCTGTTGAACTTATGTCATTATATTTAAAAAAATTCAGAGTACACTATAGGTATTGATATACTTGGTAGGACTTTTAGTTTAAGTCAGTTTGCAGATGACACTTTATTATTTCTTAAAAATAAGGAGGTGCTCCCTTTAGCTCTTGCCAAAATTTCTGTTTCCTAAAACTTCTAAATTGACCTTAAACCTAAGAAAATATTAATATTTTATAAGTATTAACTATTCAGAATTGTACTTTAAGAGAATTAGAGGGTATTCTAGTAAAAGAAGAAGTTGAATACTTGGGAGTTACCATCACCAAAAATTCTGTTCATAGAGAACGTTAAAATTTTAATATAAAAATGGAAGGGATGAAAAATCCCTAAATCATTGTCTAGCTAGAGACCTTTCCATATAGGGTAAAATTCTTTTGACTAGGATTATCTAAAATTATATATTTAACTTATCCTTTATATACTCCTCCCAAAATAGTTAAATCTATAAATTCAATATTATTTAAATTTATTTGGAAAAATAAATCACATTATTTAAGTAAGAATCATATGGTCAAAGAGTATGAATATGGAGGTTTGAAAGCTATCGATTTTGAATGTCTTCTTAGCACTTTTAGAGTTAAATGGTTGAAAGAGTGTTTAGCTAAGCCTTATTCAATATTGTATCATATCCCAAATAATTTGTTTAAAAAAATGGTGGCCTTGAATTTGTATTAAGATGTAATTATGATTGTTCAAAAAGTCCTTTGAAGCTGTCTAATTTTCATAAGCAAGCACTACTTTTTTGGAAAATTATATTTACCCATATTTTTTCCCTCATAAATCCACTCTTTGGAATAAAAGGGTTGTTATTATTAACAGAAAATCACTGTTTAAAAGTGACTGGTACAATAAAGGCATTATATTTATTAATGATTTGTTAGACAAAAATTTACTGCTACTATCTTAAAACGGATTATTAAATAAATATAGAGTTAAAATCACAGATAAAGGTTATACTGAAATTTGCGAGGCTATACCTATTGCTTTGTTTAGGTTAATTCAAAGTAATTGTTTTGATCTCCCATTTATACTTATAACTTTTCTTCCATTTTTAAAAATATCAAATGTTGATATTTTCGATAGTAAATGTAACATCAAGCTTATTTACAAACAATTTAAACGCTTATCATTGGTAATTTGAAGTGTCATCATCTAGGAGTTGTTAAACCCTTAGTAGAGGATAAAGCTTTTACCTTTTAGCTTAAATATCCTGTAGCACCTAAGGTTAAGGAAACTCATTACAGAATTGTATTCAGGATATATCCTGTGAATTAGTTTATTCAAAAAAGATTTAACTTTGATGTTGATAGATATGCTCAAATCTTCCAGAAACACTCGATCACTTATTTTTTTTCTTGTGAAATTACTTTTAAATTCTGGTTTGACATCCATCCTTGGCTTTCATTAAAGATGATTTCAGTCCCCCCTATTGTTCTAGAAGATATTTTATTTTACAAAGCTGATTTACATTGTTCTTTCTCTGATGTTGTGAACTTTATTTTAATGGGTAAATATCAAAAGTGCTGACCCTCTTTTAGGTGTTTTCTTTCTGAGGTAGAGAAAGTGGCTGAAAGCTTCAAATACTTCAGAAACCAAAGTAAAATAACTGAAGCTCTCTATACTTTATTTTTAAAACATTCATTGTCATAATGTTTTGTTTTTCTTTTGATGTAAATCTTTTGTTGCAGTTATAACAAATTAAATTTATTTTATATATTTTAATGGTAAATATGCCTTGCGATGTTGATTGTTCCCTGTTTTGTGATGTAAACTTTTTTGCAACAATAATAAAAAAAAACTTAAACTTAGTGGAATAAACAAGTTTTTCAAAATTGTTTTAAAATGTTTGGATTAAAAGTTTTGATCAACTTCAAATTCTAAATATCGATGTATATGAGAGACAGCAGATATGTTGTGTAAAGTGGAAAACGAGGGAGAAATTTATCATGTCCTGACTGCAACAGTGAGTGGCAAAAAAAAAAAAAAAAACTAAACAAAAAAGACTTTTATTTTGGCGTGGTGTATGACGTCATTAGGCTGCGTCGCTTCCGCGCTGCAGTTTAACTGGAGGAAGGTTTGTTTCACAACTTTACACAAATATAAACCGATTGATTAAAGTTTCAGGTTTTTCTTCCAATATGACATACCTGCTGTTGACTATAATTTTAATTCTTTTTACAACGAAGTACTATTTTAATCACAGTAATCGAGGGCTATTGTTTGAACAACAGAAATGTGTGTAATAAGTGTTTTAATGAAGGTTTAATTTATTTAATAGAATAATGTCATTCTAATATAAGTATACATTATTATATATATAAGAAATGGAGGACTAGTTTTTATCAGGTCATTTGTTTGTGGATATTGTTTCTTGCTCAGACTTACCTGATTTATTTTTGTTAATCACTCACATATAAAGAAACTGTTGAAGCAAGTGTTGAAGAGAAATTATTTTTTTTTCTGTTTGTGGTTTTGTTCATTTTAAACAGGATAAAGTGTCCAAACGCAGTGAAAAGCTCCTGCTGAAGCAACTGATCTCACTGTTATAAAGATGGCATTTATTAAAGAGGAGAGTGAAGACCTGAAGATTGAAGAGACATTCACAGTCAAACAGGAAGATCTGCAGGAACAAACAGGTTGGTTTTCATTCTCAAAGAACAACTCAGTCATTTTATCCTCATTCAGATATATTTTAATAATAAGAATACTAAATTAAATCCATCTTGCAGCCCTGAGTGTGCTGCCTAGTTCTCTTAAATAACTCCTCTTCAACACTTGTACATAAGCACTTATTGAAAGACAGGAACGAGTTTCTTTTGTTTCTTGTTCTTAGGTCTTTTGTCATTATTTTATGTATTATTAGTCTCCCATTTTCTCTACCTTCTTAAGGTTGTTGCTTTTCTTGTTCTCCTGTTTGTAAGGTGTCCTTGAGCACTAAAAAGTCCTTGGGCACTAATGTCGTTTTAAAAATTTTTATTGAACAAATCCTTATATTTGCGCGTCACACTCACTATACAAATTTATCAGGACTTACTGAAAATGGAAAGGATTGGAAGGACATTTGCTGTGCTCTATCATTAATAGGGAAAAGGAAACTTTTTGCTAGATTGACTTTGTATCCAGAAGCATTTCCAAATTCTGAAATTATTGTAAAAACTTTTGGAATACATGTATCTGGATTCGACAGAAAAAGAAGATCATCCGCATATTATTATTAATATAGTCAGTCGTCGACTGAGGTGGGCCGGTCTAAGACTTGAAATTCCAGGGCTAAAAAGGAGTCCCACTCCGGCCCTGTTCCCTGTCTGCTTTACACATTTTAGAAAAAACATTTTGTTGTAATGATAAATATAAACAAATAAAAATTCCATTTAGAGCTTTTAAATTTGTGTCTTATTAATAAGACCAAAATTACTTTTATGATCAATTATGTAAGAAACTCTGAAAACTGGACTGACACGGTTTCAATTTACTATAACTTCTATGTTAAGTGGCTTTGACACCATTTGCATTGTAAAAGAACTAGATAAATAAAGATGACATGAATCTGCTTAAATGTGTACACGTTAATGGACCAAACAAAATATGATCTGGTTTATTTTACATTTACCATGCATCAAAATTGCAGTGTGTGTAGCCAATGTTTCCAGTGTCTTTTCACTTTTCAACTTTTGATGAGAGTTTTTAAGACTTAATGAAAACATGTTTTATTTATTTCAGACCTAATTGAAGAGAATGAGGGGAGTAAAGAGGAGGAACATCATGTCAAAATTGAGGAAAAAACTCATTTACAGACTGATGGTATTTTGAAAAGGGGAGACAAAAATACTTTCACCTGCACTCAGTGTGGGAAGAGTTTTGGAAGAAAAGGCTATCTTAAGATTCACATGATGATCCATACTAGAGAGAAACCATTCACATGCACTCATTGTGGAAGAAGTTTTGGAAGAAATTTCGGTCTTAAGATTCACATGATGATCCACACTGGAGAGAAACCATTCACATGCACGCATTGTGGGAAGAGTTTTAGCCAATCATCACACCTTAATCAACACATGAGGATCCACACTAGAGAGAAACCATTCACATGCACTCAGTGTGGGAAAAGTTTCAGTCGATCATCACACCTTAATGAACACATGATGATTCATAGCAGAAAGAAACCATTCACATGCACTCAGTGTGGAAAGAGTTTTGGAAGAAATTTCGGTCTTAAGATTCACATGAGGATCCACACTGGAGAGAACCCATTCACATGCACGCATTGTGGGAAGAGATTTAGCCAATCATCATCCCTTAATCAACACATGAGGATCCACACTGGAGAGAAACCATTCACATGCATTCAGTGTGGGAAGAGTTTCAAACAATCATCATCCCTTTATAATCACAAGAAGATCCACACTAGAGAGAAACCACTCAGCTACGCATCGATGAATTGGCTCTTCAGTGTTTGAACTCTCAGTAATGATTAAATCACACTGAACTGAGCTAAACTGAACTGAACTGAACTTAAACACTAAAACCTGAACCACACTGTTCTAGTTACTATGACCATTTATGTGAAGCTGCTTTGACACAATCTACATTGTAAAAGCGCTATACAAATAGCGCTGAATTGAACTCAGTGTGGGAAGAGTTTCATCCGCTCATCATCCCTTTATCTACACATTATGAGCCACACTTGAAAGAAACTTGCACTGAAGCCGCGGTCACATTGGACTTTTCTCCCCATGGATTTCCATTCATAAGCACGGGAATGCGTCAGACCGGAAACCAAGTTTGTGCATCAAGTTTTGCAGTTCACTGAGTTGCAAAGTTCAAGCTTGGTGAACTCTGACCTGCAAAATCGCATCACTTGACTGTGTGAGACCAATTGAAGATCAAAACATGACCTCTCTGGATAGAAATGTAAAATATGGACCAATCGCTTATTTATTTTTTTTTTTATGTCTAATCATCTTGTTTAATCCCGCCCTTTTTCACAGCGCCATACAACAGAATTTCACATGCTTAAACGCTAGTGTGACCGCAGCTTCAGTGTGAGATGAGTTTCAGCAACTCCTCAGACCTTAATAGACACATGAAGACCCACACTGGTGTGAAAAAGTATATGTGCTTTAAGTGTGAGAAGACTTTTAATACAAAATTGAAACTGCACCAGACGTTTCACACTGGAGAGACCGTACACGTGTTCACACTGTGACAAGAGGTTTAATCAGTTTCCACATCTGAAAACACAAAAGAGAATTCACACTGGAGAGAAACCGTACAGATCTGATCAGTGTCTACAGAGTTTCACTCATTCTGCGCAGCTTAAGAAACACATGGACAAAAAGTTTCACACATGAATGCAGTAAAACATTATCTCATGTCCACAGGATGTTTCATGTCTGAATAATGTTTGAAAAGGCTGAGTGACGATATACTGTTTTTTAACACTCCTACACTGCCATATGTGGGGTTGTAAATGTGTTGCGTTCCTTGCATTTACCATAAACACAATGATGGCGGCTGAGAGAAAAACAGTTTCACAAACATCTGGCAAACAGCACCTCTGCAGCTTAAAATCACTTTGCAAGTGATTGTACAGGCGCGGATACATCTGTACTCTCCAGTATATTCATGTAGCTAGTGTTGTTTTGGATGATGTTCACTGTCTGACTCCCTGAATGAGAAACAAATCACTGGGAAGACACCGCACATCAAAGAGGGTGGAGCTCCAGGATGGTAAGTTTGCAGTATACCAAGGCCTCAAGTTTAGAATGCCCATTCAATTGTCCTGTGTTGCATCTTTTATTAGTAAAGTTTCTTCACTCTTAAGTTCAAGATTCTTTCTAGTTTACTATATTAACTTTTTTAAGTAGAATACAAACTTAATAAATATTTTATTTAGGCAGAGCGACAGGTATTACACTGTGATGATCCCAAGACTCCAGGTTGGAGTATGTGGTAAATTCTGATTGGATGCCTGCATTACTCATCAATGAGTTTATAAAAAATGTTGTGCTAGCTAGCCCAGGACGCTGTGTCTACTCAGGAGTCCTTATGGCAAGACCTGCCATCTCATTGAGTCTTTAAACTTATGGTTTGTTTTGCATCCCTTGTATCATGTAGTTAACGTGTTGTTGTGATTATATCCTAAGTTCTTTATCTTCATTATTTTCTCTAGACATTTGTTGGTTGCTTTGATTGTTCTATGAGTTGCATTTTATAATAAATAATTTGCATTCAGGCTATTTTGTTGGTTCATCTCTCTTTTATGTTGTGACTCAAACAAGAGGGTCATAACACTGTAAAATGTGTCCGGTTGTATCTGAGATCTTTTCCTTTCAGTCGCGACCATAGTTGAGAGTAGGAACATGGATTGAGCAGTAAATTAAGAACACTGCATTTTATCTCAGCTACTTCAACACAACAGACAATCACATCAACTGCATAACTGCTGCACTGATCCATCATTTAATCTCACATTCCATTGCTCAAAAAAAAAAATACTTGAACTCCATTTGAGGTAAGGACTTTCCTTCAAACTTGAGATAGCCACCTTTTTTCCTGTCAAGCACCATGGTTTCTGACAGACTTACAGGTGCTGTTTCTTTCCCTGCCATGTCACACTCAGCAGTAAACCATCCCACTGCATGCTGAAGGTATGACAGTCCTAGAAATTCTGTCAGTAAAAATTATTATATTTTTGAGATCAGCCTCAAATTAAGTTTGATGAAGTTCCACGCTATGTATATTTTGAAGTCAGGGATGCATCTTTTAATCTTGGATTTGTCTTTGATAATTTGATGTCTTGTATTGATCGTTTATGAATTGACTGAATGAATTGGCATTATACTCATTTACCTGACTTTAATTGTTATCTTTTGAATGATTCCAACAGAGTTTGTGTTATTATCTCTATTAGATTACGTTAAAGTCCATAACACCACAAGCCCCAGTACAGGTTAGTAACAGACTAAATCACAGTAGACGGAGCAGCATGGCACATTATACAATGTTTTTAGAGATCCGACTAACATATTGGCATTAATTCATGTATACTTAGACTGTAAAAGGTTAAGAGGATAGACTTTCATCTATTAAACTTATAATAATATTTGAATAGTATAGTGATTACCCTGTTACTAATAGTTAAAGTACGACTGGTCTGCTTAATTCTACAATAATGATCATTATATAACTAAATAGCTCTGTTTGATTTAGGAGGTAGCAGATCTATGGGGACCGCATAAAGAAAAATCCTAATCTGAGTAAGTAGGGTTCTGCCTTTTTACACTGTTAAAAATTGTCCTGTTAAAAAACAGTAAAATACTGGCAGCTGCAGTTGCCAGCAATGTACTGTTATTTTACAGTATGTTGCTGTAAAAATACATGGACTACATTGATTTACACAATACTCAAGTTAACTCATTTTGTTTACTGAAAGCAACTGCCTCAACTTGGTCAACTGCTGATTGAGTTTATGAAGTAATGTGCTATATATGCTTAGAAGCATACTTATAATGATAACTTATTTTAGTTAATTAGAAAAGTTCGGTTTAACTCTAATGTCTTATTTTTCACAACAGCACACATACATGCAAATCTGGAACTACCAGAGAGATTCTGACTGCATCAGCAACTAAAC